AAACACCTGGGATAAATCCAAGGCCAGGACGATAACGACGCCAACGCCTGGACGGAACGGACACTGCGGTCAGGGCTAAAAAGGGAAGCACCTAAAAGGAATCAAAAGGAAAGCAAAGGAACACCAGTCAAGCCGACCAGGCCACCAGGCCGAAAGGAAAGCACCTAAGTGGATCCCAAAACACTTAGAAAAATTCTGAAAAATTCCTAAGTGTTATGAAACTACGTCCAAGCCGATCAAGCCACTAGGCCGTAAAGGGAGGAGCTACATGGACCCAAAAACACTTGGGAAATTTTTGAAACAAAATCCTAAGTGTTATGACAGTAAAGCAAAGAGGCATAGGCCAACCAGACTACTGGACGGGAAGGCCAACCTCACGGACGTAGCGGACACTCGCGGGTGACCCAAGTCATGACTTGACACTTAGACAAATTACAGAATTGAAATGACAAAGCAAACAAGCACACAAAGGATTCAAGGCCGAAAAGGACAGCAAAAATTTCTTCAATTGATAAATTTCATTACAATTGGGGGGCACTACGGCCGTTACATCACTTGGCAAAAAATTGAAAAGCTAATTACAAAAAGTAGCCAATCACGCTTCGGGGGCACCTCCATCTGCGGCCGCCTCATCGGCCTCATCAGCTCCCTCTTCGTCCTCAGCTTCTTGGCCGGCAGCAGGTGCAGCACTGGTAGCATCATCAAGGAAGTCGAACTCAGTGTAGTCCGGCTCGCCGAGGCCGGAGCTTTCTATGGGGGACTCCTGCTCCGACAGCGGAAGCTTGGCCTGCTCTTCGGGATCCTTCATCAGCTTTGGCAGCTTCAGGTTCCGTCTAGCCCATCCAGACGTGTAATTCATCGCCTTCAACGCCCGGGATAGCCGCCGACACAGGAGCCTTTGCATCCGCTCCTGGCCCAGGTTGTAGTAAACAGACATCTCCCGGCTAAAATACTCCCGACCGGCAGGGGAGTTCATCCCCCAATTCTCCAGCCTGGCGGCCACCACTTCGTAGCACCAGGGGAGCCTCTCATCGGCCTTCCACCCCTCGGCCAAGAACTTCTCAACAGTCTCATCGGCAGCCTTCACGACGGCGGCCTCGGCCTCAGCCTTCACGACGGCGGCCTCGGCCTCAGCCTTCACGACGGCGGCCTCTTCGCTCCTGCGCTTCTCGGCCTCAAGCGCCCTATGGGACTCCGCGAGCTCCCTTTTGCTCTCTTCGAGCTTGACCAGGGCAACGTCCCTGGCCGCGACGGCCTCATCAGCTTTGGCCTGCAACGCCTTGGCATCCTCCCGGAGCCGGTCAAGGCAAGCCACCGCCTCGTCGGCCGAGGCAGCCTTCTGCTCCAGCGCTTGCAGGCGGACTATCTCCCAGTACTGCCTCTTATGGCTTTCCATAAGCATGAAGGCACTCTGCAGAAGAAAAACAAAGGTCAGGCAAAAACTCTACATAGGCGAAGAGAGACAAGAATATCAGGACAATCACTTACTTGGACGAGAAGATCCATACCGCCCTCATAAATCTTCGGGTCCTCGAGCTTCTTCAAATGCGCCCGATCTTTGGCCGGCATGGCCTTGGCCAGGACGACGTGGCCGGGAACGAGCTCATTAAACACGCCCCCGCCGACGGGGTACTCTATCACTTTCTGATAGGTGGCACCGGCGATCTCCTTGCCGGCCCTCTGCGTCCGTGGTTCCTGGACGAGAGGAAGCGCTGGGGCGGCATCGCCAGCAACAGTAAGGTCCACGACGGGACCACCATCGCCCACGCTGGGGACAGTAAGCGTACCGGCCTCACTAGTCGGAGAAAGGGAAGGAGCCCTCTTCGTCTTCTTAGAGACGCTCACGCCGGCCTCGGTCAACTTTTTTTGGCCGTCAGTGGCCGGTCTCTTTTTCTTGGACGGGGCAGGCTTTGGGGCCGCGTCAGCAGTAGCCCCGCCCCCGCCCCCCAGCAGCGGCACGTCGGGCCGCTTCGGCCGCCTTAGCAGCAATCTCCTCGGCCGCTTTGGCCTTTGCAATAGCCATCATGGAACGGCGGTCCATGACAAAATCTACAAGGGAAAAGCACAAACAGATTAGTAAAGCAAAGGACAAAACATAAAGACAGAAAGCCGAAGAAAGAATTACCATCGGCCTCAGCAGGAATGCCCAAGTCTGGGCCGTCGACCTCCTCAAAGGTGGTGGTCATCCTCGGCCAGAGTTGGAGGTCATCCTCCTTATCACCATAAACATAGTACCTCACGAAGCCGAGGGCGGCCATCTTGTACTCAGTGATGTAATCTTTCACGCTCCTCGGCCCCCCCTCCAGGAAAGCCTCCACCTGAGCGTCCAAAATAGAGCTCTTCGGCGGATCATGCAGATTAAATCTCCCGGTGTGGCCGAGGGAGGGAAACTCGGTGCCACTCTCACCAATGGACACAAACACGAACTTGCTCTTCCACCCATGAATGGACGTAGGCAAATCCGTGAAGCTCCTCTTCTTCGGCAGCTGCTGAAGAGTCGCGTAGGCCGCGCAGTTCTTGTGGCTTCCTCGGCCTATCTGGTACAGATTCATAAACAACGCCGTTGTCGGCTTGTAGCCCAACTCCTCACACCGGAGCAAGAACCCCACCATCAAGGAGTAGCTGTTCGGCGTCAGCAAGGCCGGAGGAAGCCCTACCATGTCCAGGTACTCAGTAATGAAAGGGTGAAGAGGAAACCTCAACCCCTTAGCAAAACTCATCGGGTATACTCCAAAGTACCCCGGTGGTGGAAGAAGAACATGGTCCGTCGGCTTGGGCGCCCTAACCCGCCCGAACGGCCCCACGTACATCTGGGCAACCAGATAGTCGGCCGCACTGCTCTCCGGCTTTATCAGGTAGATGTTGGTGAGATCCAAGTATGAGACGCCGGGCCCACTCTTCGGCCTCCTCACTCTCTTCGGCTTGGCGGCTCCCTTAACGGCGGACACCGGCCTCGGGCACGGAATGACAGCAGAAGTGGACGCCCCGTCCACCACTCGAGACGCACCTACGTCCTCACCCTTTGAAGAGGAGGCGGACTCCTCGTCCTCGCCTTCCTCGTCCATCAGCTCCGCGGATTTGTATGGACTTAAACGCTCTATCTCCTCCTCAAACTCCTCGAGCACCTCGTAGTCAAGCGACCTCGTGGAGGGCTGGTCGTCGTAGGGGTAGTAGTCGTCGTTCAAGCTCTTCATTACTACTACTACGAGCTTAAGGAGAACTTACGATCTAAAGGTGTTTAAATGTCTAACACCAGATCAACTACTTACGAGCAAAATATGAAAAGTGAGGAAGATCGTGATGAACACTAACCTCAAACAATGAAGAACACGAAGAACAGGCTTGGGAGTTTATCTCTCTAGAAAATCGGCCAGCACTTCGACAAATTCAGAATGCAAAAGTGATTTTTCGTCGGAGGGGAAGGGGTATTTATAGATCCCCCCACCAACGGTCACTACACGTGGCACTCCCCCAATGGCCACATCAACGGCCACCACTGGGGGGCCACCACGTCACCAACGGGCCAGAACCAACCCATGTCAACGGCCCACCGGCAAATCAGACTCTACGGCCTACACACGCTCAGCGGCTTTACAACTGCCAGCAAGCGCCCACAACGTCCCACTTGCTCACCAAGATCACAAATGCCAAACAATAAGCGGACGGCAATGGCCAGGAACGTAACGGCCACAGAACAAAGGGGACAAATAGCCCACAGCTTTCGGCTCCTCGTAATAACCCTTGATGATAACTCTCTACAAGCGATCTGCGCACAAAGGTTCTCCCACAGGGTTACCTTGGCCAGAAAATCGCCATGAGAGTTGGATTCAGGGGGACTACGGCGAGACCGCTTCGACCAGGGACTCAAGCAACTCCTTCACCCCTCACACTCTTCGGCCTGAAGCAGTGGGGGACTGGGGGACTACACCGGCCTCAACGAAACAAAGAGTATAAACAAGGTAACCACAAAACATGGCCACATCATCCACACAGCACAACGGAACCTCATCGGCCAAAGGCCCAAAACGTCATTAGCGACGGCCAACAAGCCACTAGAGGCAAGGACACTCATCGCCCCCCGCCAACAATTAATCTTGACGGGCCCTTCGGCCAAGAACACGAAGGCCAACCAGCAACGGCCAAAAGGAGTGCGCGAGCACCCCCAAAGGAAAGGACGCCGTCGTCCTCAAAGCAAGGAACAACCTCACCGGCCCAAACATAAACTTCAACCACCAACGTCCAGGAAAGGGAAAGCGCGCCTTCAACGGCCGACATCGGAACAAGACACTCATCGTCCTCAAACGAACACGTCAAGGAAACAACGGCCTCCCCGCCCATAGCGAGGAGCAGGTAACGGCCAAAGCACATAACAGGATCACCAAAATGGAAACAGCGCCAATACCGCAACGGCTAACGGCCTGGAAATGCCCGCATCGGCCAAAAGCAACAAAGCACAGAAATCTACTCTCCTTCACTTCGTCTACGTCTCAGCTTAGAGAGTGGGGGACTCCTGATGGAGTATATGGGCCTGAGCCCCAGGACCCACATACTTGGAAGAACAGAGCACAAGACAACAGAGTGGCGCCCTCGTCGGCCAAGACGCCCCCGTCGGCCGAAAAGGGGCCAACTCGGATTACGGTCCTGAGTTTAAGGGACTCGGGTGCCCTCGTCGGCCGCGCCCTCGTCGGCCGTGCCCTCGTCGGCCACGCCCTCGTCGGCCACGAAGACCTCCCAGAATCGGATTCTATACTTACTCATTTGTAGAGCCCATTAGAGGCTTTGTATTCGGCCCAGTAGCGGTCCAGTTGTAAATGGGTCTCCCAAGCCCAAGGCTTGGGAGCCCAACCCTAATTTTCTCTATAAATACTCCCCTTGGGAGTAGTTATAGGGGTCAGAAATTCATTCTATTGAAGCATATTACTGCACTTCTCTCTCTAGCTCTCACTTCTCTCTAGAACCTAAGAGATATACTCTATCAACTATTTATTAAAAAAATAGAGTAAGCGAATAAAAATCACTAATAGAATGCGAACCCTAATCACATACTCGGATACTCCCTCCGTCTCAAAAACAACTTTTACCTTTCCTTTTTGGTCAGTCCCAAAATTAACTTCTCGCTTCCTTGTTTGATAAATTATATACATCAAAACAATGCAAAACAGTGTCGAAACAGTAAAATTTACCTCCTACTAAATTAGTTTCTTAATATGTGTGAAATCCAACTGGGAAGTTGTTTCTGAGACGGAGGGAGTATAACAATTCACAAGAATCTGGTGTACAATTCACATTTGGGACTTCTAAGGAACCCACACCGGCAAAAGCACATTTGTTATTGAGGAAACGGGGGGGGCATGGTTTGTATCGAGTAGAAGATGCTCACTGGATTTTGTTTCCTACTTTGTGCCCCTCCCAATTGCCAAATGGGTACATGAAACCAATTCCCACTTTCTATCAAGCACACCCTTCCATAGGTGCATTGAATTGAACTGACAGAGTTAGCCAACTTCATGGTGCAAGTGTGCAACTGTGGACTTGTTGAAATTAATGGAAAGTAACTCCTCACTTCTTAACCTGTCTGCCAATTAACAGAAATGAATCTTCATTAGAACCCTCACATACAGTTAACAATGTCTACAGCCTATGTTACACGGAAACACGAAAATCATGAGGAAACAGGAAACGGGAAACATCAACTTTTGCTCAAAAACGCTTGTTTGGAGAGTTTCGAAGTTTCCGAAACGGAAACGTACTCTTTCCCGAGAGTTTCCGTGCTACGTAGTCTACAATCACCCAAACGATAAGAGCATAGTCCAGAATTTCTTTTCACTGCTGCTATCAACCAAATACAAGAAGCATTGTAATCAATTTGTTCCCCGTTTGGTAGGATACGTTTCTGTTTGACAGCATTAAAAATAAACATTGTAGTATTTCTGCTTAACTTATTTGAATGCAGTAGCAGCAGAATAGAGTAATAGACCGATAGTATTAGTTTTAAAGGTATGCAAAAGATATTTGAACTGTTTTGTTTAGTTTACTCTCACAAATTATAAATATCATTCAACCATATCAGTCATTACAATTGCAAGTTCAGAAACTTCAGCCAATATAAGCCACTTCAGCCAAATAATATTTCTACCGAACGGCTCAAGTATTTATATATACAGGTTTGATAGAGTAGGAGTGCATATACACAACCTAACCCAAACTAGCACATGTTGCATACTTTCATGTAGATAAATGCAAATTTTGAAACTCTTGTAACAAAATAATACTTAGATCTTCAACAACATAGAATTACCAAGAAAGGTGGAGAGCTGCAAAGAGATCAAGCAGATCCAGGAGAAGGGAGGCCTGACTTGCCAACACTGACATTCTTAAGTTTCTTTGAATCTCTGATAAATTCTTCAGCTTGAGGATCTCTTTGCTTGAATAAAGATTCACTACCACTCTCTATTGGGATTGAACAAAATGGAGTGGACACAGATGCAGTGGGAATACTTTGGTTGTGTGATCTCACTTTAGAGAGATTTCCTGAAACCATGATACCAATGCTAAGAAAGTAAGAAACGGTTCAGTTTCTTATAATAAATACATCATTTCTACGTTGAAATGAAGATAGTTAAGCAATGATTTGTTTTTCAGTTTCCAATTTTAACACCATTGAAACAAATGCTCATAATTCATACGGAGTATATGTTTAACAAAAATTTTAATACAATTAAGAGAATAGAAAGAATTACAATATACACATCATACCGCACAATGCAGATTCTTGAAATTTCTCCCTCATAGTTGTGACAAATTTGTATAGCCCGTTGCTATGGTTTAGCTCAATGAGCAGTTCCTTTGTGTCATTTAGGCTTGGATTACAATCAAGCACTAGAATCCATGAACCATAAAATCATTCCAGCATCATTTTTGAGTATTATGTGAAGAAAAAACTATTTTACATGTAGGTATGGCAATGGGACGGGGGTTTAATTTCCCCATCCCGGCCTCGTGTCTCCAAAGTTCCCCCGCCCCAGCCCAACAACACCTGCGAGCTTGTTGAGTGGTAAGAAATAATTTGAGGAAATAAAATGAAAAAAATAATTTGAGGAAATAAAATGAACACTATCTTCTTTAACAAATACTTCATTTGTTCTTTATCAGTACCAATAGATTCAATTTTGCATTTTCACATACTCTATTTTAACCATATTTTATTTATTACAGTATTAACATAATCCGTATGTAAAATTCTACTAAAATTGTCCCAGTGTAAAATTTTAAAATTTCAATGCTTTAGCTTTAATAGATAGATAAATATACTAGTGGCAAAAGAAGTTAACTTGTTTTATTGGTTACAAGATACTCTATTTATTATTATATAATATATGCAATATATACTCACTCCGTATTTTAAAGTTTGCTACACTTTCCTTTTTTGGATGTATTTAAAAGTGTGCTACACTTTCCCTCTTTGGTAAGTTCTTCCTTTAAAAGTACTCAATTACTCTTACTTTTTGTACTTTTTATCTCCACTTTCATACTTTTCCACCATCTCTCCTACTTTTAACACTATTCATTACCTCTACTATTTCACCCTTAATTGGTGTGCCCAAACCTATTGTAGAGAACTTTCAAATACAGAGGGAGTGTTACATATTATAAATTCCCTCCGTCTCAAATTGAGCTGCAAACTTGACCTTTTTAGGTCAAACAGTGTAATTTTATTCCCTTAATTAGGATATCAATTCTTAATTAAATTTTAATTTGAATTTTGCAACTATATAGAGATTTTAATGTAGTTCCTGAATATGTAAATTTTAATTGTTAAAATTGAATTATTTATCAATAGGGAGGATTTAACTTTAACATTTGTTGACCAAAAAATGTTGACTTTGCAAAACAAATTGAGACGGAGGTAGTATATATCATCCTTTATTCCAATGGAGCCAAGGACTCACTATTTTTGGCTTGTGAATATGATGGAATAAAGAAAAATGGCTCACTAAATTGTCTACGCTTCTTTGTTATGAAGAAGCAGTCAGTCCATTCAATTTTCAACCCGATTTTCATCATGGATCATCTGGAAACAGCCTTTTTGTGCTTTAATATAGGGGTGAGGCGCATACATCCGACCCCGCTTACTCCATCTTAGGTGGGAGCCTTTGCGGCACTGGGATAATGTTGTTGTTGAATTATATATAAATATACATTGCGGGAGATGGGGGGTTTATCACCCCATGTCCACTTTTGCCTCACCCCAATACCCACCGCCTCATTACTCCCTGCAGATTCCCTATTACCATCTCTAATTACATGTATTTAAAAAATTACTTACAGGCATATGTATCACTTTCATGACGAATAGTGAAGGAGTACTCTTCATGTGGTTTTTTCATATTAATGTTTGAAAATATGAACTTCACCCCTGGAATAAAAGAAGACGAAGCGGGAATGAAAATGTTCAAGATAGTTATATAGATTCATATGGAATAAGATAAAAAAAATTGCATACCACTACCACACTCGGTTCGAAACCCAAGATTCTTGTCATACCACAAAATTGCCTCTTCTACTCCATTTTTATGCTCAGATTTCTCGTGATGCTTCTCCTCACATGCTTTCAAATCTTTTAATTTGTCCAAACACAAACATAAAAAAGGAAGGTGCCCAAATATAATTAAAAAACTTAAGATCTTGAGGAAGTAACACTCTAGGGGTACTCATCAATTTGAGGGACCACATACATCAGGTTGAACAAAAGAATATTAAACACTGAATTAAATTTATTTTATGAAAGCACCTTCTTTATAGAAATGTAGAAGAATAGGCTATCGTGCAAATATACAAAATGATGTTATACGATTTTATTTAATCGTCATATCCTTTAGCATTGCCATATAGTGAAAAAAAGTAGGTTACCATTGGATTCTTCAACTACTATTCTGGCATATTCATCTCGTCTTGCCCTTTGAGCTTCAACAACTCTTTTAAGTTGATCCGTTCTTGATTTCACAACTGACAACGATTCCACTACAGCCATCCGTTTTGCTTCCTTTTTGGTTTTTTCTGCAAATAATCAAGAAAACAAGAATGACGGTTCCCAATAAGACATATATTCAAATTTCAAATGAGTAATTCACATCTTTATCATATTTAATAAAGGTTTATATGTGAACATGGGATTGAACTACAAGATAAACATTTTATTCTATATTACGAAACCGAAGGAAGAGTAACAGTGTAATACCATCCTAAATGAACATTAACTCAGATCTTAGGCACAAGAAGTAAATTAGAACCTTAAACATTGTATAGGAACTTATAAAATGTAGTTCCACATTTCAAGAGAAGCCTCGGAACTCAGAAAATTGAATATACCAAAAATGGTTTCCATCTGAAATTGAAAATGTAAACTCATACAATACTAAAATTTACTCCTAATATTGATAACATCCTCATGGTCTGTTATGATGAAGGGTTTAGGGGGTGATTTGGTAGGGTGATAGGAATTCAATACATCAGCCGACTCAGTTTTACAATAAAGTGTACAAAAGGAGGAATAGAAAGGTAGTTAATAATAACTAACTAGGAGGTTAGTTAGTTAGTTCCCTGCGTGGACAAACTAATATAAATAGAAGTCTGAAGTCTAAGAATGGTAGGCTGTTAATTCGGTTGAACTTAGAACTGGGAGACTGGGCATCTCGAATCGTCCAAGGCCTGTATACTCTGTTCTTCTTTCACAATTCAATAAACTCTTCTGATAGCATTTCTTGTTAATTTCCTATTGAATCTATTGTGTTCTGAATCGGAATTACCAGTGTTCTATCATTGGTATCAGAGCATACGATTCAGGAGATCGTTTCTCGTGATCGGAAAATTGACGCATCACCGGAAATATCTTCGTTCGACTTGTGAATGGTTAGAACGAGAGGGGAAATGGAGAATCACGTGGAATCGTTGGAGCGTAATTTTCAGGAGGTGAAATCAGCGTTGGATACTGTCATAGCGAACCTAGCAACGCTGAATGAAGAGCGTCAGAGCAGAAGAATGTCATGAACACCTCAGCAGCAACATACGCGAACTTCAAACAGTCCTGTTGTTTCCAGAGGTAATTCTGTTCATTCAAATGTTCGACGTAGTGATGAACAAATTAAATTTCCTGGTAGAAAGGTAGATTTACCTTTTTTTAATGGCGAAGGAGCCTATAACTAGATTATAAGAATGGAGAGGTACTTTCGGTTAAATCACATTGAAGAGGATGAGAAGGTGGAAGCATCCATGGTTGCGATGGAGGATAGAGCTTTGAATTGGTTTCATCTGTGGGAGAATCAAACTGAAGAAACGACTTGGGACACTCTGAAGAAATCTATCATTCGTAGATTTCAACCTGAGTTGATTCAGAATCCATACGGACCAATGTTAAGTTTGAAACAAACTGGAACTGTGAAGGATTATAGAGAGGAGTTTGAAATGGTGATTGCACCACAGCGGAATATGGACAGAGAATTGTTGAGAGGAGTTTCATTACAGGTTTGAAGGATGAAATCAAATCTGAGTTGAAATTGTATGCATCCAAGTCCTTGACTAAGATCATGGATAAGGCTATACTCATTGAGCAGAAGAATGAGGCAATCTATTTGAAGAGAAAAGAGGAGGATAAGCTGGGTGGAAAAGAAAGAGGACCTGCACCAATGAAGTCTCAGAATTGGGGAGAAGGTTATAAGGCAAAATCTGGTAATTATGGGGCATTTCAGAATAAGTTTGTCACAGAAAACAAGAACAACAGTTCTTGGGGTGATAAGGCTGGAATCAAGACCACTGCAAGTCATTCTTCTGGAATTAGAAGAGTGGGACCTCAGTTGTCTCAAGAAGAGTTTCAGGAAAGGAGTATGTTAGGAATGGGCCTATTATTAGAAATAATAATAAGTGGGCCTATTATTGTAGATAATAATAAGTGGGCTTGTATTATAAATAGAAGTACTATAAATAGAAGTCTAGAGTCTAAGAATGGTAGGCAAGTATTTGGACTTGGATAGGCTAGGAGACTGGGCATCTCGAATAGTCCTAGGCATTGTATACGACGTTCTGTCATTGGTATCAGAGCATCAACTATCGCTGGAGACGGTTAAGATTGCGCAGATGAACTTAGCGATGGAAAAAATTGCGATGAACTTGGCGATGCTACAGGAGACAATCGCGAAGAGCAACAGTAACCAAAATCGACCGAGGAATCCGTCGTTCACAACGCGCAGCTCGCAGCACTATTCGCATCGCCAATCGCTCACCAGTTCGCAGGAATCGCGAACTGTTCCTTTGCATCGCACTTCGCGACTGGTAGACGCGAGAAATTCTGATCAGTCTCGTTCTGGTGTGAATCGGGATAAAAGTGGTCAACGATCGCGATCGTCGCACAGTCCAGTACATCCCAGAGGTAATTCCGTTCATTCTAAGGTCCACTATCATCGTCATTGTGATGAACATACGAGAAACCCTGTACGCACCGGCAAAAAAATAGATTTACCATTGTTTAACGGCGAGGGAGCATATAATTGGATTATACAAATGGAGAGGTATTTTCGGTTAAATGACATTGAAGAAGAAGAGAAGGTTGAAGCTTCTAGGGTAGCTATGGAAGATAGGGCTTTGAACTGGTTTCATTCGTGGGAGTACCGGACTGAAGAAACTAACTGGGACACTCTGAAGAAATCTATCATTCGTAGATTTCAACCTGAGTTGATTTCTTCTCACAGTTCGAAATCACGGACTTCAGCATCCACCAGCGGTTCACGACCAAGTAAAACTCTATCGAGAGAGGCTTCCCGTTCACAGATGTCATCCCAAACCGCTTTAGCGCCTTCACGAACAGTTTTGCTTAATTTGCAGACCTCATCTCTGGCGCAGTCGCGAACAGTGTCTACCGGTTCGCAGGTCTCAGTTCATTTTGCTCGGTGCGCGACTCATCTCAGTTCGCAGGACTCACCGCAGGTTTCATCACATATTTCTGCTTCTCACAGTCCGCAAGTGGAGTCAGTTTCATTCCCGCAGCAGTCGGTGAGTCAGCTACAACCTAACTCTGAAGATACACTCATCATTGGTGATGAGGAACAAGGGGAGAGAACTTCTGTGGTGATTCAGTCCATTGCCATGGAAACTGAGAAAATAGAAGAGGATGAATCAAAGTCTGAGAAAAAGGACAAAATTGGAATACCAAATCAAATTAGATCCTCTGCAGGGTTTGTTAGTTTGAGCTATGATCAAGGTTATTATTCTGAGCATCTGAAAGTTGCTGACAAGGTTGTTGTTGAAAAGCGAATGCACCGTTCTCCTGTCACCGAAGAAGAATTTGAGGCCCATGGGTGTTCTGGGGTGGATTATAAACACTTATTTGGTGGGGTGGTTATGTACTGGAATCCTTCTGAAATGTCTGGGATCAGTTTTTTGCGCCCTCCTTCACTTAGTTCAGATGATAGTTCTTGGGCATGGCGAGTGGCAGATATGAACAAGGTTGTTGATGACAGAGGTGAAATGGATGTTTGAAATGGGGCAAAGGTGAAAGACAGGTAGAAGTATTGATTGATAGTGGAGCAACTCATAACTTCATTTCACAGAAATTGGTGGATGATTTGGAGCTACCATTCCTGACTATTGTTGGTTATAAAGTGCAAATTGGAAATGGGGAGTTGATATCTAACAACAGAAGGTGTGAGGAGTTGATCTTGAATTTGCAAGATACTGATATTATTCAGCAATTTTACATACTGGATCTGGGAGGAACTGATATTGCTTTGGGAATGGAATGGTTGACTAGCCTTGGGGATGTAGAAGTTAATTTCCAGAAGCAGACTATCAGATGGAATCAACAAGGACTCAATCATTATATTCAAGGTGACCCCAAGTTAAATTCCATGGAATTCTCATTGAAGACTCTATCACAGATTATACAAGATAATGGAGATGGATATTGTTGAGATTTGATATGATTTCCTTCCTGATTTTAGTATTTTATTGTACAGATTGTATCAAATCAGGAATTAGTTACTGATTGATGTGCATATTATTCTTTCCTTGTAATTATTTGCCTTATAAATAAAGACTTGCTGAGAGTAGTTTCTCTCAAGCAATTTCATTTCATTCAAATCAGTAAATTCAAGTTGGTATCAGAGCCTGGTCCTCACTTTCCCTAGTCATACCTGCAGCCAACCTTCATCGAGACTGGTCTGCCGGCACTAGGAATAGAAGTCCTAGTCATTCCAGATTGTTCCCAAGTCAGTATACGCCATGTCTCCTGCAAGCAGCACGACTCCTGACTCTTCCAGGAGTCTTGTGTCTTTTGTCTTTTCTGGGAATCCACAAATAACTTCTGAAAAACTTAACGGCAGAAACTACATGGATTGGCAAGTTTCTGTTGAAATTAGGCCAAGGTTTGTCCGAACATTTGACCAAAAGAGCCGATGAGATAACGGCACCTGAAAGGGAAAAATGGACTCAAGCCGATCATCAATTGGTTGCTATTCTGTTGCAGTCCATTGATCCCAAACTGTTGATCCACTTCCGCACATACAAGACATGTTATGACATATGGAAGAAAGCTCGAAGTGTGTTCGCGAATGATGTCCAACGGATTTATGACGTTGTTCATAGCCTTGCAACACTCCAAATGTCCGAGCATGACCTTCCATCATATGTGAATAAGGCACAATCCATTGTTGAAGAGGTTAAGGTGATGTTTAGCGAAACTGATCTCCCTAAAGTGTTTGATAAAATTGATAAAATGTGTATGGTGTTTGTTCTCCATGGACTTCATAGGGATTTTGATTCCGTGCGGAACCAGATCTTAACGAATCCAAACATTCCCACTGCTGAAGACCTTATCGGTAGACTGTTGAGAGTTCCTGCACCAAGTGGAATTGAAAGTGTTGGTCCTCACATTGATTCAGAGTTTTCTGCTCCTATCTCTCATTCTAGCTATGGCGGACGTGGTCGTGGTCGTGATAGAGGACGTGGCACTGGTGGTCGACCTAAGTGTAGTCATTGTCAGCGCATGGGTCATACCAAAGATAAATGTT